AACGCGTCTTTCCAGTGCGAGTGGCTAATCCGCAATTAAATTTCATCCGGCAAACTGTTGAATATTTATTGTAAAAAATAAACAACACAGTTTGAAAAACTAAGTGTATATTTATTAAAGTATGTATTACTGTGCTTTACAAAAACTGAAAAACAGAACGCTGTTCAACGGTTGAGCGTTTGCTGCGAACTGCCGAACGCGGAGAAAAAAAAGACGCTGGAATAAAAATGGCTCTCCTCGGGAAAAAGAACTGAATCCGAGGGAGAGGACTGCACCAATGGATACTTTAAAAATATACTTCACGCTCATTCTCAACATAAACAATAATTTTATGTTCGAATTCATCAATCCATTTCGATCCAAAACGTTTCAAGCGTACAACGCGGATACACCACTCGCATCTGCGATGTAAGTGAAAAAAGAAATGCTCGGCTCGCAGTGGCATATGTGCGTACCGAGGCGAGCATGTGTGCGTTACGCGTGTTAATCGCAAACCCGCTTGTACGCAGACGAATGGCGAACGGGGATGGTTACGCATAGGGGGGGTCAAGAACCTTGGTCAACCTTACGGCTTTCTGTTCGGCGTTTCTCAGTCGGTCCTCATTCATCGCGCGTCCAGGATTGATCCGCGGCTGTCGATATTTCAACTTCGTCCGGCATTACCGTTGCCGGTAGAAGGCGGTGGCCGGTTCTATGGGGACACTGGAAAAGTAGAGGAGCGGCGCTATGAAAGGGACAGTTTCTTTAGCGTCCATTTCTGATGTCATTATTACGCCCTTAACGCGTCGAGGGCGAACATTGTAATATTATTGACTTCTGCGTCTAGAATTGATAGCATATAATTTCATTCTTTGTCCAAGTAATCTCTATTTCAATAATTCCCTTATTTGACAGATCGGTACATATATAGTTCTCGTTTCCCCCAGTAATTAGGAAGATGAATAATTCAACTTTATGTGAGAAGAATTTTGAATATTCTTAAAAATTCTCGTGTACGAAGGGTTGAAGTATAAATACAGTAATAGGATATTTATTGGTTGAATGAGAGTATATTATCAACTCATTAATCTTTTTCGAAGGATTCCTAGAAAATAAGAGAACTATTGCTGATCTGATTTTCTTCTATAGAACTTATATATGTAAACCTGTTAAAATAATATTTTCATTTAAATCAGTTTTTCCTCATGTGTTTCGTTTCATTGATTAGTTACTATGTGATTGGATCGACGACTGCCGACAATTCTCGTGAGAAGAGACTCCCGATTCGACCAATTAGACTCGCGTTCCTTTCAGGTGCTCTCTATCTATCAACGCGTAATACTCGTGCGTCGATACCGATTCCTCTCGTAGCTCCGCGTTGCTCCTCTCACCGGTAAGCCGCTAGACGACCTAGGTATACCTGCCTATGCAGAGGCGCAGGTTTATTTTCCTTTGAGACGGCTGACGTGCGCGACCCCGACTCAAGCTAATTATCCACCCTTACCGGTGGCATTTAAATAACGTACACGGGGAATTCAGAACGAGGGAGAGCAGCAGGGTAACCTGATTATCTTCGCACTGGTTGCTCGAACGTTGAGCACCTTGATATATTCGCATTGGTCATTGATTCTTGTTCGAGAGAGGTTTTCAATGTTGCCGAATCAGTGAATGAGAGTTTCATTGCGTTAGAGGATTTGTGGATCTGCTGGGTTCTTCGGAATTCTTATTATATTTCTTTAATGTGCTTGTTGCACTCTTGATTTGAAATGTATCTTTTGTGTGGTTGTATTATATTATACTATACTAAATTGTATTATTTTTATTAGAACTTAAATGAGATAGAAATATTTAATTTTCTGTATTAGAACTTAAATGAGATAGAAATATTTAATTTTCTGTATTAGAACTTAAATGAGATACAAATATTTACTTTTCTGTATTAGAACTTAAGTGAGATAGAAATATTTAGTTTTCCATATTAGAACTTAAACGCGATAGAAATATTGAATTTAATGTTACTGGATAATTACTATTTTTTCTATGCAAAAATGTTGATTGTCCAGCCACTAACATTCACGCGTTTCCAAGGAATTATATAATCGTCCGAAATAAGGGTCCTGGGTTGATAAAACACTCTCCTAAAATGTGACCCTTTCCCCAGCACAAGTTGCATGTCCGCCATGCATTAATTACGTTAATTAGAGACGAGATTCCGCGGTGGCCTCGGAAGTCGTAATTTATTAACTGAAATGGATTATCCGCGGTGGAAAAATGCGGTGAGCCAAACCACCGTTGCGACCAACGGGGACATGTACTGTCTTGTTTGAACAATAGACAACTATATAAAAGAGTCTACAAGAATATCATACTATGCTTCATAAACAGCAATCCTATCTAGAATTCTCGACAATCCTAACACTCTACCCCCAAACACTACGAAATTCAACTCTCGCTTAATCTCCTCATCCACAAATATCAACAGTCACAACATTCCTTCGTTATCACTTTCCATAAATCTGATACGTTCCATTAACAGTACACTCACGTTACTCTAATCCAACCCAACAATTTTTCCAAACACAACGGCCCTACCGCAAAAATTCATTTCCACCCCCAAAGGAACACATCACGCGGGAACTGCCAAAAACGTCGGTCAAACTGTAATTTCCGAAGTGATGTTAGTCACACCGCGACTGAGTGTAGAGCG